GGGTGGGGCTGGCGCCCCACCCCCATAACTTAATACTACAAGCCCCTAATAAAACGATTTAAAAAAATTATCAAGGGTTCATGAGGGAGGGGGGAAATGAGGAGCTGATATCAAGGGCTCACGTAGAAAGAAAACCTTTTGGGAATGATGATGTCAACAAATATACAAATGTGCTTGACACAATGGATGTAGGTATGGATTGTGATAAGAATTGTAAGATCCCCTAATAAAATGATTTAAAAAAAAAAAAAAAGACTGGGCCTCTGAGGACCCTAGTGAAAGCATGGCTGTCCCACCCTTGGTCCAGTGACCCTGTGGGCTTGCTGGGGCGGTGGGGGTGGGGGGGCTGGAACATTCATCTACTCCATCCTGTTCTGGCCCAGGTGCACAGTTCTCCATCTCAAAGGGGAACTGTGGCTGCTAAAATTGCTGGAGGTGAAATAATGAATGTTCTTATCCCCAGCCCATACCTGGAGGCACCTGTGATGCATTGGGCTCTAACTGCAAGGTCGGCAGTTTGAAACCTCCAACCACACTGTGGGAGAAAGGAAGTTTTCTATTCCATAAGACGTTAGCCTTGGAAACCCAGTGCTTCCTCTAGGGTCGCTCTGAGTCTGAATCGACTCGGTGGCAGTGAATGTGGTGACGTGGGGAAGGCCTCGGGGGAGCAGGAAGGGTTGGGGACCGTGTTGGAGACTGGGATGGGTGATGAGAGTAAGTAAAATCGTTACTGGGGCTGCAGCTCCTTCAGACACAAAGCAGGTTCAAGCACAGCTCCACAATCAGGAGATGGTGTCAGACACATTGTCTCAAGAAGACTTGTCTTAGATTCGACAGGTAGACTTCCAAAAGGAGGGGGGGATATGTTTTGTGCCATCGGGGAAAACAAACAAGTTTTGAGGTCAGGGCTAATATAAAAAAAATTCAACAAAGTTCAAGTGGATATCTTCCCAAACCACTGAAGCTTTGCAACAAGTTTATGAGAATGCTGCCCCACAGGAATTCACAGGTTTTAGATGGATCAAGTGCTTCAAAGGCCAGTGTGTTAGTCTCGGTGAGTCTGGGTACATTAGAGAAACAAATCCACAGAAACTCATGTTAGGTAAGCCAGCATAGGACTGGGGCTTGTCCGTTAACGCGTGCCCAGAGGGTCAAGCTAGGGAAACAAAGGAGTGGCACCCCACACATGTTCAGGGTTCCCGCTGGTAGGCAGGGGTGGTCGTGAACTTGAATTGGATCACTTAGCCAGGTAAATTCAATTCAGCCAATGGGGTCGACCAGGGGTCTTCCACCACACCTCCCTGTGGAATCCTTGAAAAGGCAGAAGCCTGGAAGGGAGGGAGGTCAAGAACCGAGACGGGAGAACTTAGAATGGAGAAGGGAGATCTCAGGCGCAGAGAGCTTTGGCACGCTTTGCGGGACGCAGAGCTGCTCCCAGCTAGGCCGTGTGTCCGGGAGGAGACCCTTGGGTGCCGTGTAAACCTGAAACTTCTTCTAACTTTCATAAAACTCACTTCGATCATGAACCAGGCTTCGGCGTGTATTCTTTCTCGCGCGGAGCCAAGGACCGAGGTATAAATCTAACTCCAGAGAGATCTAACACTCATGTGTGGGAAACAGAAGGATTTCTCTCAAGCTGTCCCCCCCAAATATATGCCAGACTTAGCTGCTTGAGAATGACTGTACACTTGGAGGTCATCAGGTCATTCTCCCTGAGAGTTATCAGCTGTCTAGACCAAGCAGACACCACTGTTTATCACACAAGTAG